ATTTTATATTGGAGGGGCCCGATGGCTTTAGTCTAGCTGCTCAGGTTCCCACAGAGGCCCATGACAGATGAGGATCAGATTCTCTCAGGCTTCCTCCTAAGGTCTGGGTCCCTGTAGTCAGAAGGCATAGTACAATTTGGGAGGCTTGTTAGGTGGATGTAGTATTCAAGTGACTTAGGCAGTCAGGATAGGAGTTTGGCCTCTGGAATCCTAGATAAGTTGGGTCTGTGGACAGCCAGGGTAGAAAGATTGAGTTGTAGTGGAGACCCCAAGATGTTGGGAGATGCCAGAGGTGTGAGATACTTGCCAAGGAAAGCTGTATGCAGGGAATGGAACCAGCCTAAGAGAGAGATGGATGTTATAGGCAGCAAAGCCCTTTGAAGCTGAAACCTGAGCTACCTGACATGTAGCTACAGGATTTGGTATTTGACCCTAAGTTTTTATCTTGCTTTGCCAGTATTTAAACTATGCTCCTATTCATCCCCTTGGGAATGGGTATGTATATTCTGTGCCATTGCATTATTTCAAGTATGTAATTTGGTTTTTAATTTTACAGAGGGTCACAGTTAAGAGATCGCCTTGATTCTGAGAAGAGACATTGGACTTTTAAACAGTGTCGAAACTTTTAAAGTCTATGGGGCCTTTTAAAATTGGATTAATGCATTTTGTATCATGAGTTTGCCATGAACCTGTGGACTTTAGGGCTGGAATGTTGTTGTTTGAATGAGAAATGTCCTCCATATGCTCATGTATTTGAACATTTGATGCTCAGTTGGTTGTGCTGCTTGTGGGAGGTTATGGAATGTTTAGAAGGTGCAACCTGGCTAGAGGAAGTATGTCACTGGGCTGCCTTTGAGGTTTTATTGGCTCATCTCATTTACTGTGCACTCTATATGTGGTTGAGATGTGATCTGTCAGTTTCCTGCTCCAGCCCCCTGTCACTATGCTGTCCCTGCCATTATAGACTCTAGCCCTCTGAAACTGTAAGCCACAGTAAATTCTTCTGGAAGTTGATTTTGGTCATGACATTTTTATCACAGCGACAAAAAGGAGCTAGATACCCATTGTGCTACTTTGCCAGCCTGTGTTCATTTGGTTTTAATGATATCTGTCTTGGTTTCTTTTCCTATTGCTGTGATAAAATACTCTGACAAAGCAGCATAAGGGGGAAAGGGTTTATTTTAGCTCACAGTTCAGGTTATAGTCCATCATGGTAGGAAAGACAAGACCTCAGGAGCCTGAGGCAGCTGGACACACTAAGTCCGTAGTCAGAAGAGAGCAGTGAATGCATGCTCAGCTCACTTTTCTACTTATATAGCCCAGATCTTGCCCACAATTAAGATAAGTCTTAATTAAAACAAGTCCCATATCAATTAACATAAGACAATCCCCACAGTCATGCCCAGAGGCCCATTTCCCAGACAGTTCTAGATTCTGTTAAGTTGACAATTAACACTGGTCATCACAGTATCTTTCTCCTTTTACCCATTTAATACCCATATTAAGAGAATTTTTGCTTTGTTATGTGTGTATAAGCACATAAGTCTGGGAAGTTTATCTCTTTATTACTACTACTATTTTATATAATTCATTGATTATAGTAAATATGTAATTATCTTTTAATACAGTTAGTATTTAGAACATATATCTGTTCTGTTTTGTTCAAATCTATAGTAGTCACATGATAACAGTTTTTTGTCTTATTTCAGATATTTATAGAAATGGCTTAGCTATGCTAAGCATAATATCTATTATTTTATGGCAGTTTTTTTATAGTGTTGAGGAAATTCTTTTTAGTACTTTTCAATTGGCAGTACATTCTGAATATTACTAGATTTCTTTCATACATCTAGTAACATTATATGGATTTCCTAATTTGTTCTGTAAGTGTGATAGCAATTTGCTCAATTAAAAAGTCATTGGCTTCCAGGATAAATCCCTTCTGGCTTGGGTGTTGTGGAGTTCAAGCTGTTTGGTGTTTTTTTGTTTATGATTTTTATATCTGTTTTCATAAGTGAGATTCGATTCCTTTTTAAATGTGTTTTATGAATTATTTATTGGTTTATAATATTTAATGTAATAACTGGGAAGCATTGCATCCTTTGTATTCCAAGAGGTTTATTGAAAAACTTACTGCAAGATTTCTATGCCTACAGGATCTTCTGTTGGAGGTAAATGTTTTAGTAAAAGTAAAAAAAAGCTCAAACAGATATAATCAGATTTATATTTTAAATGTCAATTAAAATTGTCCTATCAGAAGTCCAGCCGTACTAACATTCAATTATTTAGAATATAAAAATATTACATATAGCAATCTTTGTATTAAACTGTATTTATTACATAAATAATTGGTATTCAATATAGAAAGATGGGGCAAAAATAACATTTTAGAAGAAAGATAGAAAGAATAGATACATAACTATTTGTGATGTATATCATTATAATAGTCTGGACTTTCCTGTATGTTTTTATTATAGAATTTTGGATTTTCTATACTATCGCTAAGGCTAGCCCTTACCCTCCTTTTAGAAAATATATGACTGATGTCAAGAGAAACCCTAGCAGGCAACTAGATTCCTCTTTGAGCACTTTCTAGCCCTGACTTCCTTTTGTATCAGAGTTTTAAGAAGGGATGGTTCAGTCTTCTTTTCTGTCCTGCTACCTTTCCTTTATCCTTTATTCCATTGCAGCTAGTTGCTCCTCTGTGGTTCCTGTAATTGTGATATACAAAGGATCATCAGTGATGCTGCAGTTGATAAACTGAGGGATACTCAGCTTTCTGACATCACTAAGACTTGATGTGACTAGTTGTCATGTTTATAATCTTACATTGCCCTTGCTATTTGTGCTGGCACATACTCCTTTTTCTGTTTTATAGCTTAATTTTGATATTTCAAAAACACAAAATCCTATAGGACGTTACTTTGGAAGGGCTCCTATATACCCTGAACATGAGTTCATGTTTTTTCTGAATCACATGAGAGTAACTTAGAGACAGTTTGTCTTCATGTCTAAACACTTCATAGCATATTTCCTAAGAAATAAGGACACATTTTCAGCTGAGATTGCCTGATCTGGCCTCCACCTGGTGTAGGGGCTGAGAACTCAGCAGACTGCCTGAGAGCACCTGGATCCAGCCTCCACATGGTATAGATGGAATCCCACTGAAATGGGCCAGCAGCCCATGGAAATCAGATGATGCAGAGACCCAAAAGTTCAGTGCCTTGCCACAATGGGAGGAAGATCATCCCACACCTCTCACTTCCTGCAGTTCTCAGGGACTTTTGCAGAAGAGAGTGGCAGAAAGAATGTAAGAGCCTGAGGAAGGGGTGAATTGTTAACTGGAAGTGTCCTCTGACCACTATGCCGGCAAGCTATAGTCACACCTCCTTCCCATGCTTGCCAAGGAGTTGATGGGGGAGTCATTTACCCCTCCCACCCAATCAGTTGACCTTAGCTGCATGTGGGGAAGGAGCTAAGGATATATAAGCTGAAAATGCCATGAGACACCTCTCTCACCATTTTGTGTGGCTGTCAGGAAGTCTTAGGATGTATATTTGAGTGTGGCCTTCCCAGTGCAGCTGTAAATGAGGGGCCATTCTTCTGCAAATAAACCCCCATCCTATACTCTGTTAGCAAGCCCAATAACCTCATTAAGATTGAAAAACAGAAAGAAAGAAGGACACTTTCATTCATAACTAGACTATAGTTACTAAACCAGGACTATTAGTAGTGATACAACAGGACAGTCTAATTCACAGTCTGAATTCAGATCTTGTCAACTATATAAGTTATACTTTATATAATGGTTGCTGTTTTTACCCTGGAAATCAAGGATCCAGTCCAAGATCATGTGTTACATCTTGTAACTGGTTTCTTTTAACCTGGAACAGTTCCTCAGATTTTCTTGGTGTTTCTTTTCCTTAGTACTTTGAAGGGCACACCTTATGTGGACCATTCTTCAATTTTTTAAAAATGTTTTGACTATAAACTTGGCTTTTCTGGGGCTTTGACTTTTCTTCTCAGTCTCCTTTGCTGGCTTTCCTCATCCTTAGAATAATTCAGCAGAGTTCTTTTTTCTGCTGTCTTATGTGTTACTTTGGGTTTTAGCTATATGAATGAAAGTCTCTACAACTAGAGCCAAGACTAGGGCTAGTTCATTTTTGTAACCCTTGGGCCTCTCATTGTCTTAGATACGTGAGAATACTAAACAGGCATTTAAATGAATACATGTTAACAATATTATGCCAAGTTTTAGGCTTTATGTTGAAGTCTTATTTGAGAATCTTGAATAAACTGATCAGATTTGTAAAATGTTAGCTGAATACTCTTACCTCATTAACTCTAACCTGTGCATTTTTTGGTCATGCTTTATTCTCTGTGAAATAGAAATACATTGTATTGATGTCTCTTGTAATTGATATGAGCCAGGCCTGAAGAGTTTCATTGACCACCTCCCCAAAAGAACAACAAAATGTCTTGAGACTTAATGAAACATAGTAAACAGTTATTTCAATCTGTTCTGCCTCCAGTGTAATAAAACAATTTGTGGCTTTAAAAAAGTGTTAAGGTTTAAAAAAATAATAATAATAATAAATTTTAAAAAAAAGTGTTAAGGTCAGACTGCCAGGATTTGCAAGTGTAAGTTCAAATAACAGATCCACAAGGTCCTGGACTATCTAATCCCACATGCAGCATACAGTGCATTGGTTCACCTCCAGTGGTTGGCTGTGGCTTTACCGTAACTATGAGGTACTGGAAGGAATCCTCATTCCAGCTGCTTAATTCACTGAACATCACCTTGCCTTGGTGGACATGCTGAAGCTGACTGGCCCCTTCAGGGAGTCTTGTTGGGTGTGTTTGACCTAAGGTTATCCTGAGTACATTCTTCCTGTTCCAGCCCAGCAGACCATGGGACTCTGAGGGGTCTGAATGTATTGCAACTTCTTTCTATTTCATGTATCAATTTAAAAAATAACACTTCTTTTCTTTATCAACAGGAGTGAAACCTCGTTCGGGTTGGTCCATTGATCCTTTTGGACATTCTCCAACAATGGCTTATCTTCTAAATCGTGCTGGATTTTCACACATGCTCATCCAGAGAGTTCATTATTCAGTTAAAAAACACTTCTCTTTGCATAAAACATTGGAGTTTTTTTGGAGACAGAATTGGGGTATGTAGGGTTTCATGAAAGACAATGATTTCATTTGACTGAGATGTTGTTTTGAGAGATCTGAACCTAGACCAGTGTGGGTTTTACTCACAGTGCCAGTCTTGAAAATCAGACTGCCACAGCTGTTAATTGTTCACAGCTCCTCAGGAGCCAGAGCTCATGGTTCCCTTCCACTCCACACTAGAATTTTCACTGGCTTGATCTTGTGCAGTCAACCACAGCTACTATGAGTTCATGAGTGCAGAGGCCTTGCCATGTCTAGAATACATGGTTTTGCCCCAATTCTCCCCAACCTCTGCCTCTTAAAATGTACTGCCTTGGTCCCTGAGCCTTGGGAGGAGGTATGGTATAGATGTCCCATTTATGAATGAGTGCCCCGTAGTCACTTCTTCTCTGTACTCTGAGTCTCTGCATTTCATTAACCACTGTCCACTGTAAAAAGAAATTTCTCTGATGAGATCTGAGAGCTGCACTTATCTATGGGTAGAGAGAGAGAATTTAGAGGGAAATTTGACACTATGTTTACCCCTGGGAACTGTAAACTCCCCAACTGTAGGTTCTTGGCCAGATTTGAAGTGCCAGGAATGTGTTTCCTCCTATGGAAGTGGATTTAAGGCACATTGCTTTTTGAAAGATGTTTTCAAATTAAGTTGAGCTGCTTTGTGTGTTCTGTTCTTAATGAAGCAGTTATTTTCACTTTTTAAAAAAGTAAATGCTGTCTTTTGTCTTTATTAAAGAAGTAATAACCATTGTTGGAAACTGGAAATCCATAAACGAGTAAAAGTAGAGGATGTTAAAGCTCAGCATCACAAAAAGATAACTATTAAGTCATCCGGTCTTCTTGGGTCAGTCTCTGGCCTATTTAGGGCAAGAATCTCATCTGACATTGAGTTTTTAACTAAAAGACAATCCTCCATTAGTAAGCAGTGCTTGCTTTCTATACTTTTTTGTTTGCTTGCTTGCTTGCTTTGTTATTTTGAATCTGGAAATTGCCCTTTCTTTTCCTGTACTCCTTTTGCCATAGAAAGTCCCATGGACTCATTCCTGGGTACCAGCAGGAGAGACCCCATGAACTTTCCAGTGTCCCACTTTCTGTCTGTGCAACAGTGGTTTGACCTTTGCCCCATTTTCCTCATCCTGTGGCCCACCTTTCTCCTATGTGCTTTCAATTCCCTCATCTGTTTTCTCACTGCGCCTTTATGGCGGATGTAAGTCACAGTGTGTCCTGTTGCCTGTGGCAGGAACAGATGTAGCAGGAGCTGCAGCCTGGGTGGACAAAGTTAGGATTTTGTCTGAGCCAGCTGTAACTTAGCTTTGTTCAGATTTTATCTTCCTTTTGCTCACAGAGTATCTTCCAGGGCAGTGGGAGCTGGTTCTTTAGAGATTTTGGTTTCTCTAGTTTCCATAGGTAGAAGACATAAATGAGGGTGATGTACAGATCATGTACATCATGCCATGGCTGTGAAATGCTGCTGGGGTCTAAAAGTGACTACTGGTTTACGGCGGAACTTGTGTTACATAGCTGTGTATAAAGTATGGCATTTTGAATAGTTGTGAGGAGAAACAATTTTGTGAATGGAAATTTGTTGACTTTTCATTTTAGATTGGGGATCTGACACAGATATTTTGTGCCACATGATGCCCTTCTACAGCTATGATATCCCTCACACCTGTGGACCTGATCCTAAAATATGCTGCCAGTTTGATTTTAAACGGCTTATTGGAGGCAGATTCAGTTGTCCCTGGGGAGTCCCCCCAGAAGCAGTATCTCCTGGAAATGTCCAAAACAGGTATTAAAATACATGTTTCATAAGACATCAAGAACAGCATGGCTGTTCGACTGTGAGTTGCTGAAGGATTGAATAAATGGGTGTCGGAGTCAACATTATCCTCATTCAAAGTATTCATTCAAACCAGGTCTAAAGCAATGTAAAAATGCCACTGCCTCAACCATACTTTTATGTGTTATAATTTAATGGAAAGTGAACAATGGATCAATATACAATGGCTAACCTATAATATGCTATTATTATCATTTCCTTTGCACTCATTATAAAAGCTTTCTACTGTGCTTGATTGATTTCATATACTTCCGTTGATAATAAAACTTTTGGTCCCCATTGTACAAATTGGTTAGAAAAGTAAGTCAACTGCAAAAACACATTTATTGAAATGGCACACATGAAGAGTATAATTATCTCTTCCCTTAATAACAATTTAGGTAATGGTGAACATGCTCAGCTCAGATGAATACACATCATTGCATCTTTCTGATGTTTTTGACTTACAGAAAACTTTGATTAGTAATATTTATACTTAAATACATTTCAGTACAAATCAACAGGATGAACCATTTCATTAAAAGAAAATTAGGTTAATGAAGAAAGCATCTCATTAAATCAAGTTACCTATAGTTTCTGATTTGGTTTTTGTAGTGTTTAATTCTTTCTCCTAAAAAATTAGAGTTGAATAATGCATTAAAATAAAGCACTGTGTTGTAATATAAAAATACTAAATTCTGCTAAAAAATAATTCTGCTTTTGAATAAATTAATATCATTGTTCTGTCAGATCTCCATATTAAAAAAAGTTACTTTGGGCTGGAGAGATGGCTCAGTGGTTAAGAGCACTGGCTGCTCTTGCAGAGGACCTGGGTTTGGTTCCCCAACACCCACATGATGGCTAAGAGCCTCCCGTAACTCCAATTCCAGGGGATCTAACACCTTCTACCGACCTCCATAGGCATTGCGTGACATGGGTGCACTTTCATACGTGCAGGCAATACACTCATAAACATAAAATCAAAATAATAAAAAAAGAAACCCTGAGAAAAAGTTACTTTAAAAAAAATGTGTGGGAGGAAGAAAGTGAATCTGGGTCATTTTACCTTGACTGAGTCCTTGTTAAAAGAACACATTCCAGTGTGAGCCTCTCACTGTGGCTGACCTGAAGGTGTTTGAATGTGGCAGCCTTCTTCAAGCTGTGAAGCTGTTTTATCAAATTCTCACTTCATAGTTGTTTTGTGAAACTGCCCAGGTGTAGGTCTTTATCTGCCTCTAGGGTGAGACTAGTCTGGCAGGAGAGAACAAGCCTAGATTTTATAAGAAGGAAGGGCTGAACATGAGGGATGCTGACGTATCCACTTAGCAGAAGGTTGTATTTACATTCCGCTCCTTTCAATTCAAACAAGTAGATGATTCAGTTGGGAGATCTCTTCCTTTTTGTTGTTTTGGGTGCTGCTAACTGCTTATTTGAGATGTGTTATTGGTAGAAATAGCCATTTTGTATAAATTATTTGCTGTGTCATTTATCCCTTCACAGATTGGTCCCCAGAAATTCTAAAGTTGTTTTCAGGTTCCCTAGGGATATGGGTGAATGAGTCTGTATAATACTAGTGTAGATTAAAAAACAAAAAACAAAAAAACAAAAAACCTTCCCACAAGTTTTGAAATAGGAATTCTGCTGGTTACTTAGCATCCATATTATACCATCTTCTTTTTTACTTGGTCATGAAAATAAATCAAATATAGGCTTTCAGCTTGATGGCACCTTTCAACTGTTTAATAGCCTAAAGAAAATGAGATTTAATTGTAATATTCAGATGTCATCTTTTCATGTATTCAGTTCATCAGATTCTTCTCATCTGCAACCTCCATTTTTATTTGGTCTCTGTTCATATTTTAATCTGCCCTTTTCCATTGAATATCAGATAATTTTATGTGTTAAGGATTTAGTTGACATTTATTAACTCAGAATAAATCAAGAGCAAATTATACCTGTGCTCCTTTGAATGTGATTTTGGTTAGTTATTCATCATTTGGTCACTATACATTCCTCAGGTGTCTACTACCTGCTGTGTGAAGTAAAGTGGTAGCTGAGTTTTCCAAAGTGCTGATACTTTCTGAACTGGAGCTCAAGTGTTATGCCAGATGCCAGATGTAAAGGCTGGGCAGTGTTTGTACTTTCCTTTTTCTGTGTGTGTAATAAACACACACACACACACACACACACACACACACGATTAGATATATCTACTAGTCATCCATCTTTTAAAAACATGACTGCTTCAGGAATGTAGTTGAATGCTCATTCGTTGTCTATGCTTTATCTGTTGTATTTGATTTTTTTGCTCCTTTTTGGGTGAGGTGGTTCCTATTTCTATGTGGTTACCCTTATTGTTCATGTGCTTTTTAAATTTTAAGTAGTGATTTAAAATTATTTTTAGAAGATGTGAGATGTTAATAAATTGGTAATAAAAATTAAATACTTTGCCAAATGCTAATCTCAGAAAACTAAAAACTATATGTTACATAAGATCACTATGGCTACATTTTATTTACCGACTTACTAATTGTTAAAATTTTGTATTTGCAAAGCAATTTCAGAGACTATAAATTTTAAAAAGTCCATATGGGACTCTAAATTTAATTAAATGTTATTTTTATACAAAGTATCTCTCGCTGATGTTCTTTGAAATACTTTTATAAGTTTTTATATTGTGAATTGGAATTTACTTTTGGATAATCTTTGAAGTGAAAATGGGAATACTAGACAAGAAAAAATCCTTGTCATTTAAACACCAGCTTCATAAGCTTTGGCTTTATACACACTGAATGACTGTTCATCTGCTTAATTTCATTTCATGAGCCTTTCTTCCTAGTTTCTCAGTGGTTCTGCATTTCAGCATTCCTGGAAGAATTTCCTACAGCATACTAAATCTGATGCATAGAAACTTCATATCAGCATGCTGTATTACCTGACCTTTGGATCATGGGTCAGAGCTTGGGAGGGTAGAAACCAAAATAGCTAATTCAGATCCAAAGCATGGGCTGGTGATCAGCACGGAGAGGGACACCATGACTGCACTGGACTCTTTAAGGCAGGTGTGCAGTGAGCAGGCTTTCTTCCTCTACAAGAGGATACACTGTTTTGTGAAATGTTATGGATTATGATTTATATAGCTTGGATCATGTTCAAAATTTATTTTCTTGGGGTTGGAGAGATGATTCAGTAGTTAAGAGCCCTGAGTTTGATTCCCAGCACCTACATGGTGGCTAACAACTGTCTGTAACTCCGGTTCTAGGGGATCCGATGCCCTCTTCTGACCTCTGTGAACATTGCAAAACATGGGTGCACTTACATACATAGAGGCAATACACTTATACGCATAAAATAATAATAAATAAAACACTAAAAAGTTTGCTTCCTTCTGTTTTTATCAGGTTATTGAAACTTTTGATTGAATTAGAAAATGGCTTATTAAAGCACTGAAGAATTACTGTTGATGTGGAAGAGGAAACCTTGTATCTTCTTCAACTAAATGATTTTAAACATGGGCTATGTAGTCTAATGGCTATATCAGGGGTAGTTCAGGATGACACTGGTACCCGCGTTATGATTTCTCAAAGGATAATCCATTGGAAGACTGTGGGGTTTCCTTGTAATAAGAATCTTCATATAGGTAATGGGTGATGGTGAGAAATCTGCCTCAAAAATCTATTTTATCTAAAATCTGCAAAAATACTCAGCAATTTCTTTAATACACTTTTTAATTTCTATACATCTTTTTTACTGAGTTACTCTGTTGGCCTTTCTTTAATATAATTTTTATATTTTCCCTTTTTCTTTCATAGAGCTCAAATGCTACTGGATCAGTACCGGAAGAAGTCAAAACTTTTCCGTACTAAAGTTCTTCTGGCCCCACTAGGAGACGATTTCCGGTTCAGTGAATACACAGAATGGGACTTGCAGTGCAAGAACTATGAACAGCTGTTTAATTACCTGAATTCTCAACCTCATCTTAAAGTAAAGGTAATGAGGTATTTATGATACTGTAGTTGAAGTTGAGCCTCAATCCACAGTGTCCTCCTCTTGCATCCCTAGATCGTGCCATTCGTTCTGACATAAAAGTATAACTTTATCTTACCATGTAGTTCCATTTCTGAAGTTGACCCTTTCTGGCCCTATGTGAGAAAATTTAGTGCTAGGGGATTAAAGAGGCCTTCCTTTTATTTTATTGAAAAATGGACACCTACTAAGTTTTTGCTTTTCTGGGATGCCTGTTTTCTTTACAGCATGCAAGGTTTATTGTTTATCTCTTGCAGTTGCATACTTGTGGTTTAGTAGTGTTGTGACCAGCAGTTACAAATGAGTATGTCATAAATTTTACAAACGTTTTATGTCTACAGAATACTCGAGCATTTTTCTTAAGTGAGATTTCTAATATTTATCATTTGCCTGTGATTCTTTTTTTCTTTTTTTTTTAAACCTTGTGGGAAATCTAAAGTACCCTACTATTTTGAAAAGAGCACAAATAGCTGCCTTCTCTTCATTTCTGTAGTTCTGTTACAGGACTCATGAACTCATGGCTACCTTTATTTCAGATGCCTTTCCAAGGATCCTTTGAGAGCAAATCTCAGAGGCTGAGTAGTTCAGCACACATCTTTAAACAATAAGGATTTTGCTTTAAGCTGTAATCATAGAATAATTATCACATCAAAAATTAGCATTAATTAAATAACATAGAATCTGCATAGGTTGAAATTTCCCTGATCCATAAAACAAATGTTTTACTTGAGTCAAATTTCAAATATGAGACATGTATTGCATTGGGTCAGTAAGTCTCTTGAAGTTTTTTTTTTTTAATGCATCTTGGAAGACCTTATGTGAGCAAAGAGCAAAATTTTCAGCATGCTTATTATATTCACATATCAGGCTATAAAACAGCAACGATCTGAGGAAGGAGGTCCTGTCATTGTGTAGAAAACAAAAACAAAAACAAAAACAAAAAAACCAAAAATCTCTTACTGGAATGTAGTTTATGTAGTAAGAATTCAGGTTCATTAAATAAACTTATATAATACCAAGTAGGAAAGCTTAATCAAGTTTATTAAAAATATTTACAATTACATTTTGTGCATTTATGAACTTGAGCAAAGGACTGTGTTTAAGCCATATCTGTATAATCTTGAAAGGGGACGCTCATACATGCATTTTTGGGAGGTGGGAGTCTTTTTGAGACAGGGTTCCCTGTAGCCCCAGCTGGCCTGGAACTCACTATGTAGACCAGGTTGGCCTTGATCTTACAGAGGCCTGCCTGCTTCTGTCTCCAGAGTGCTGGGATTAAAGGAATGTGCCACCACACCACAATGCACATTTGATCAGAGGGCTGTGTGTGTGTGTGTGTGTGTGTGTGTGTGTGTGTGTGTCTATGTCTGTATCTATGTGTCTGTGTGTGTCTTCTAAATGCATTCTTTTTGTTTCTATTAATAAACTAATTAACTTAGTTATTTTGAGTGTGCATGTGTGTGTGTGTGTGTGTGTGTGCATGTTTCTGGAGGCCAGATGTTGACATCTGACATTGGTTATTCTCCACTTTAGTTTTTGAGACAGCGTTTCTCACAGAACATGCAGCTTACCAATTCAACTGGACTGGCAGACCCATGAGCTACAGGGCTCCTGCCTCCACCTGCTTAGTGTGGTGTGATGACAGGCACATACTAACTTGCCTGGCTTTTTTCTGTGGATGCTGGGGATCCAAACTCAGGTCTTCAGGTCTTTAGCCACTGAGCCGTCACCCCAGCCTTCTAAATGCGTCTTATTTTGGGAATGATTTGGAGTCTGGTCTCCTGATTGAGTCTGAATAATTAAATCTTAATTTTGTCATTTTACTTTTCTCTCTTTTGTATGCCCTTTAAAACAAGTTTAAAAATAATGAAATATCATATACATAGAATTGTGAAAACTAACTGTAAGTATGCAGAGAATTTTTTAAATTTAAAAGCCCCCTATTTAAACACCATCCAGAGCAAATGTTAGGGCATCATCACACCTGGAACAGCTCCTCAGCACCTCCAGCTCATTACCAGTTCCAGCCAAAGTCCTCTCTGTCTGTATTCCCGTCACTTGTTCTTTAGATTCATAGGAAGTGTGGACTTCCCAGTGTCTGGCCATTTTGTTCCAGATGATGTCTTACTCTCATCCACACTGTTCATTCCTTTTCAGTGCTATATGGTGTCCAGTGTTCTGGTATCTATTTAATGTTTATGCCATAATTTAGATATTTCTACTATTAATGGACATTTGCATTGTTCCCAGTTTCTTTATAAAACAAATGAAATTACTTGAAAATGCTAGGCAGCTTTTGCTCACGTGTATGAATTCATGAGGGTGTGAATGGGGCAGAACTTTTCTGTCATTTTCCATACACATACTCACCTCTAGGAGCAAACTCCACCAGGACTCCAGCGGTCAGCTTCCTGTGATGTGTCCTGCCCCACAGGTTTTCTCAGACTTTGTATTATCAGAGTTGTTTTTCCTTGCATTTTTATCTTTTCAATAAATGTGGTAAGTGTTTTGTCAGTGTGACAGATACCATAGAGGAACATGTTAAAGATAGGAATGATTTAACTTGGCTCACATTTCAGAGGTCTTGTAATGGTCCTATTTCTTTGTGGGACTTGAGATGAGGCAAAAGCACATCCTGCTTGGCAGTGGGATGGAGAAATGCTGAATCTCATGGCAGGCAGGAAGCAGAGAGAAGGGAAGGCACCAGGGTCCCAACTCATCCTTCAAAAGCTCACCCTGCTGAGTATCTCCCTCAAAGCACCGTTTGATTATCAGCACCCACATGGAGGCTAACAACTGTCTGTAACTCTAGTTCCAGGGACTCTGATGCCTTCTTCTGATGTCTGTGGATGTTGCTTGACACCTGTGTACTTATATACATGCAGGGAATATACTTATACACATAGAATAAAAGAAATAGAGTATTAAAAATATATATACATTACAAAAATACCCTTTTTCTTACTAGTTTCATTGTTATAAGCAATTCAAGTTGAAATTTCGCCTTTGTTAGAGAGAGATAATTGCTATAACCTACACTGGTTTTAGCTGGTCATGGGTCTAAGGCTTTTATTTAGAATCTTGCTTTGCTGTATCATGGAGACATTGTATAATATGCTCAAAACCACATGTGGGTTAAATGACAGCTGATGGAGATAGGATTTAGACCCATGCCTTTGCTTTATTGAATCAGAATAACTTGTAATCTCAATCTCTCCCCTTCCCCCCAAAGAAGAAATAATAAAGTTAGTGTGTTGTTATTGAGGAACAAATTCCCTATTCCATGTTTAATAGGTATGCCTTTTATTGTCTGTTTATAAGGTCTGGTACCTTATTTTCTTAACAGAACAGTAGAACAGTTTGGCCTCAAAAATTAAGTTCTATACTAGGAATCTGAATCATTGCTCAGAAATGGCTGACTTCATTTGAGCAGTCAGCCCCGTGATTCTTGTTGTTCTTAGTGTTCTTCAGTCAGTATAGCAAATTTAGAGCAAATTTTTGAGAACCCATATAGTATATTTTTATTGTATTTAGGACAGAGGAGGGAGTTTGGGGAGGGACAAATAACACTAAAGGCCTATAGAAATATGGAGCCCTACCACTGTAGAAGCTTCTTAAAAGCCCACTTTTTAAATGACCTACAGTTCTTAAAGTCTCTCTCTTCTCAAAATGGAGCCTGAGGGATCAGGACAAGGTGTGATATATGAAATGCCTTATGACTAGCAAAGCTTCCAGATACCTGGAGCATCCTTCTTAATAAATATATTTAGATGTTTTTGCTACTGCCTTATCGTCATTCATCTGAATTACTCTGTGTCTGGATCCTGGAACATTTTAAGCATTTGGGAAGAGTTTTCATGTCTACATACTTACAGATCTAAGTGGTTCTCCCAACTACTTAGGTATATACCTTTTCTCTTAATTAAATTTGGGACTTAGTGCAAATCACAAAAAGAGCCACTGGCATTTCTACCCTGCCTTTGAATCTTGTGATATATGACCTGTGTCCTCTTTCTAACCTGGAAACTCATTCTAAGTGTTTATTAACTTCTGCATTCTATGTAAAAAGTAAACATTTTAATCTGGAAATGAATGTTTAAAGTATAACCCTTAAAATTTTTCCTAGATCCAGTTTGGAACTTTATCAGATTATTTTGATGCATTGGATAAAGCAACTGAGAAGAATGACCAGCCCCTGTTCCCTGTTTTAAGTGGAGACTTTTTCACTTACTCTGACCGTGACGATCATTACTGGAGCGGCTACTTCACATCTAGACCTTTCTACAAGCGAATGGATAGGATCATGGAGTCTCGTTTAAGGTACACATACCTTGAATGGCTCCTTGTATTTATTCACCTCTTTTATGTTGTCATAGTTTTTGATACAGTTTTGCGCACATCATTTATACAGTGTCAGGTATTTAATGTAATTATGAAGTTTTGGTACAATCTGAATATGCCTCTGTAGTACAGTAAGATTATCACATGGGTTTTTATTCTGCTGGAAAAGCAGGTTTTCAATTAGATTCTCTCCAGTTTGTACTCTGTACTAACTTACCTGCACTATTTGTGTACCGTGTCAATCAATGCATAGTTTCACTGCCATGTGCATATCCAGACAGGTAACCTGGCAGCCTAAATAAAGACACGGTCAGGTGTCAGAGAAGCATCTTGGCACTAAAAGTGGGCCTTTAAGTGTGTATGCTGAAATGAGTATGTTTTATATATGGGAGAACTTTAGAGGCTTCATTTCAGTTCTGATTTAAGACCTTTCTATAGGTATGATTTTTCTGCTTAGAAGAATAAAATTTGAAAGAGATGAGAACTGATGGTGCAGGCAGATGATTGGCTGAAAAAGTAAACTGATTCCGAAGATAGAAATGCCAGTAGAAAGCATAACAGCATCCAAGCAGCAGGACTAAGTAGATCTTTCAGTTATGGTCCAATAGAGCTTTGTATCTTGTCCACTGTGTGAGAACTGGGAACGTGACCATGTGGTCCTGTCTGCAATGAATTCTGAGAAATGAAGTCTACAGAATCCGACTTGTTTTGTAAAGTTGAACTACTCCTAGAGTCCTGAGACTTTCTTTGTACATATGACCCCCCCAGTTGAGAAATTTACTTTCAAGATGAGTCTTGATATTAAAATCAATTTAGATCTTACCTAGCCTCTTTTATATTAGGAAGACTTTCTGTAAAATTCATTAGTTTCTTCTAGACAATAAATATTTCAGGTATGAAAGAATACATTTTATTATGTTTATAATAAAATAGTATTCATGTATGAAGAGATGCATAAAGTGATATTGTCTGTTAAACTGTGGTAAAATGGTTGTGATAAATAATGTAAGAATTCATGGCACTGAATTTGTTTTTAAGTGTTTATTTTCTATCAGCTAAGAGTTGCAAATATCTTAATTTATTGAACATATTCAAGGCATAGTGGTTATGATGGGAATATATTTTTAAAATCATGCTTTACAGCAAAAAAGACAAAAGGTACATAATACTTTTGAATTTCTTAATGTTAATTTATTTGCAAATAAGCTTATTATTGTCTGAAAGTACTATTTCATTTTTATTTGTAAAATGTGGATAAAAGCAGAAAGGTATAAAGAAGGAAATAGGTCTGGTGGTGTGGCTCAGTGCTTTGGGGCTTGCCTATCATATCTGAGGCCCTGGATTCAATTCCTAGCATGCACGTGTATACACACACACACACACACACACACACACACACACACACACATTCTGTATCCCCCCTTAAAAAACCAGAAAAATATATGAAAAGAAAAATTATTTCAAAATCTTCAATATAATAATTTGATATGTCTGTATTGGTGTTATTTGCTGTTTTCAGAAGCAGGAATGAATGTTTGTCCTGGGTGTAAATGGACAAATGTAATACACTTGTTTTTTTGTTGTTGTTGAGACAAAGTCTTCCTGTACCTCCAGCTGGCCTGGAACACTCTATGTAGACCAGGATGGCCTTGATATATGTAATTCTAACCTGATCTTTTTCATGGCATGAGTTTTGGAAAACTTAAGTGGAACTTACTTGCTTTCTTTTACTTATTTTTACAATTCAGAGAATGCATCACTTTTATAAAAATATTTTATTTATTATTTTAATTTTATGTGTATGAGTGTATTGCCTGCATGTATGAAAGTGCACCCATGTTGTGCAATGCCCATAGAGGGGCATCAGATTCCCCTGGACCTGGAGTTACTGACAGTTGCTAGCCACCATGTGGGTGCTGGGAATTGAACCTGGGTCTTCTGGAAGAGCAGCCAGTGCTCTTAACCACTGACCCAACTCTCCAGCCTGAATTCATCAGTTTTTATTACAAAAGCATTTCTAATATATCTTTTTCCTGAATATTGGAATATTTTAAAGATATTTTCTTTAAGATGTTTGTAAATATAGAACCTTCTTAGGCCTTTTGCACCATTAAAACCACATCTCCTTTAAAAACATTTTCAAGAAACCTATCTTGAAGCATATCCTCTGATTGAAAAAACAAAAAAGGTGAAAATCATAAACCCATGTTCTTGTCCCAAAGCTATTCTAGACTTTAAAACATGAAAAGGCCAGGCCTGGTCATTTATGCCCGTACTCAGGAGGCCGAGGCAAGAAGATTGGCATGAGTTTGAGGCAGTGGGCTACAATGTGAGATCTTGTCTCAAAAACTAAAACGAAACAAAGTAAAACAGTAACAACAAAAACCTAAAATATATAAAACAAAAAAAAAACCTAAACAGCAGAAAACAAACAATAAAATAACATCCTCTTTGTTATTTTCATAACTGTTCCATTTTTATTTTGTCCTTTAAAACTGGAAGTAACTGTTGTCCCCAAGCTGCTCTTAGCTGTCCTTTTCTGCCACTGCTCTTTATAGCAGCCCAGCCTTGTGTGCTTATGTTTCATTCTCTCTCCTCCAAATGTACACACACAATAAGTGGTATTTTGGTAAAATTCCAGGTACAGGTCTGCATTGTGCTTAGAGAGCAGAAAGGAAGGCACATTTGTCTAATCCACACTTCTGTATTAAGGCTTTTATTGTTGTTGTTGTGTTACATATAGATAGAACTACCATCCTGCTAATAGGCTCTGACTTCTTTCCAACATTATGTAGAATGAAGACCCCCTCCCCCCAGGATCATTGTAAACATGGTGGGCTATGATGATCGAGAACTTTAAACATTAGATACCTTGGTTTTATAGAAATTTTTATAATCGGTACTTTCTGTATAAAGAATTTGCACTGAAATCATGTATCTTTTCAAAATTATGTTTCAAAAACATCAATGAAGAGGACATGGTGGTAGATACCTTTGACCCCAGTACTTGGGAGGCAGAGGTAGGTGGATCTCTATGAGTTCGAGGCCAGCCAAGGCTGCATAGTGAGACCTTGTCTCAAAACAATAAATGAATAAATAAATCAATGATCATTTAAATTATGATCATTGATGCTGTTTACTTACTTATATAAGCTAAAATGTTTATTTGAAATAAAAGTTAATGACTCTTTCTTGCAATTAGGGCTGCTGAAATTCTTTACTATTTCGCCCTGAAACAAGCTCAGAAATACAAGATAAGTCAGTTTCTCTCTTCACCGCATTATACGACGCTGACAGAGGCCAGAAGAAACTTAGGACTGTTTCAGCATCATGATGCTATCACGGGAACCTCAAAAGACTGGGTAGTTGTGGATTATGGTACCAGGTAATGTAATTATAGAAAAACACTTTTACATAACATCTTTTTAAAATTTGAGTCCTAAGATGGTGTGTGCATGTATGTGTGCACGTGCGTACGCTTCAAGATGAAACAGATAGTGTATGTCAGAACACATTCATATAGTACCCCTTCTGTGTATTGCTATAGCCACATGTCACCAATTTTTAGCATTCAGGAAATCCGAAGCATCCTAGCAGCTCCAGCTTTCATCTACAGTGCTCTTCCCAGATGTTAAAGCAGTGCTATAAAGCTCTTCCTTCCTGGTTTCTCCTAAGCACGGCATGGCAGTTGGGGTTATCTTCCTTATCAGGGATTTGGCATCTAGTAAATTGTTTTTAAACTTGGGGAGATAAAGAATTCTACTTTGTTGTGCAGCAGCTTAATTTCGTCTTACTTCATATCTAACTGTTCTTGGACACTTGATGTATTCTTAGAGGGGCAGTGACAGAAAGAAGCAAGGTGAGAGGCATAACCAGGAAGGACGGTTGTATAAGCGTGATAAGAGCAGTTGGCATTGAGATCAAAGCATCTTCCTCACTGAGCATCTGTCAGACAATTGAGGAAGTGCTCCATTATTTCTATACCAAAGAATTAGACACAGTGAGTACAGACTGTGACTTGGAAAGGCTGAGGGCTTCATACCCAGTACTTCCCAGTGATGGAAAAGATGACCTTTTGTGGTATTGAGAGCCATATCATCATGCCACTGCTTGGCTAACCCGTCATTAGGGTCAGTGCAGAGGGGTTTTTACAGTGGACAAGGAGCTTTCCTGTTGATTCACTATATTTTAGACTATAGTTTCATTTAGGTTTTCTTTCCATTGTGGTTGGTATGTATGGATATGGAGGCAGGACTCAGGAAGAGTATTTGTATACTGTGCATGAGACCCTTGGGCCTACTTCTTAGCATTAAAAAAATGCACAAAAGATGGTATTCTTTTAATATTTTAAAATCATCAATCATATGCTATGTTCTTATTACTTTAAAACTGGAATTGCTTTATAGCTATTGTAAGTCAACGTGTGCAGAGCACATAAAATTAATACTAAACCACTGACCTGCAGCTGACATTGCTCATTGTAGCAAATGCTAAGTTTTTAGTTATAATATTTTGACTAATTTTCTAGAAATGAAGAGGAAGGAAAAAAATACTCTTAAAGCTTCACTGTTGACTTCAGTCAGCAAATAATATATTCAAGTTAGTGTCTTCAATATATTCAAGTCAAAAAATATATTCAAGTTAGTATCTCGAGTATCTTCTCAGTTTTGGGAGAAATATATTTTCCTGAATGTATTCTGTGCACTCAGGTCGAACTAGCCTTTAAGTGGAAAGATCCTTAGTGCTGGCAGTGCTGGTGCAAGTAAAGTAGAACCTGACCTTTCTTGCTTTTGCTTCTTTGACTTACTGACTTTCAAAGTGAGTCTTGGACAAAGACAGGGTGTTGCTCCTAAAGATGGGGTGCAGGGTGTGGAGCTATTCTCCTGCACAGCCCACATCCTGCAATGGAAAGATACCTGACCACAGGCCATTTGAGTTTTTGCCCAGTTTTGTCTCATGACCTTTCCAGGAGGCCTGTCACCAGGCACTCAACAAAATTTCTGTTGCTTTTAACTTAACACATTAGGCCTATTCAAAACTGCATGTTAGATTAAAAAAAGTAAAAACATAGCTATTCTCAAATTATAGTTGACATTTGTAAATTTACTTTGCCAGTGCTTTACACTTCAATTGAAAAATCGTAAACAATTATCAAGTCATTGGCATAGACATTTTTAAAATTATTTATTTAATAACCACATGATTAGAAGAAGCATTTCATTATAGCAGTAACAATTCAACAACAATTTCCAGAGGCTTTTTAAAGGAAGAAATTTCAGAACATAAGTTGGAGAATTACAGAGAGGCAGCTAGTGCGTTGTATGGTCTGGTACTTGCACATTGACTGCTGCTCATTCAGGTGCCTGTAAGAAAGTCTCTGAGAACAAGTGTGTGAGGGAGAGATTGTACTTGATGGCTGGCAAGAGCAACTCTAGGCAGAATCAGTTCTGTCCTGCTTATTTTCATGTAATGTGAAACAGTCTATAGATCACCCAGTCAGTATGCCAGCTCCACAGTGCCAGAAGGAACCTAGGCCTTCCAGATTCTATGCTAGGTGACTCTGAGAGCCATGCTCTCAACAGCAGTCTAAATGTTTGTATAGTTATGTACTGAGGCTATATTCCAGAACTGAGAGTCAATCAGTAGGTCCTTAAATCTCCCTTTGGTTCCTCAGACATAAAAATAAAATTTTCGTGTAGTTAGTACCTTCAATGATGAAGAAAAGGAACAAGGATAAAGAAAATTCCAACATCTACTCTTCTTTGTAATTGTGTTGAACAAGAACATGAGACCAGGTGTCACTTTTAATTCTTGGAGAATGACATGCCTATGAACTGAATATTCTTAACTTAGATATAATAACATATTTGCTTTTGCTGTTTTAATTCTTTAAATTTTTCTACAACAAAGAAGTAAATAATTGCTTTATAATAGCCCTTATAGCTATTGAGATAATTATTGTGGATATTGTTATTAGGTATAGTATTGGTAGAAATTATAAATATTTTCAATAAGTTAATGTGTTTAAATAAATTGACATCTTTTGATTAGTTGTTTCCCCCTGAGTCTTTAGTTCTAGAAAAAAAAGGAGTTAGTTGATTGTAGATTCCTCGTATGTTTTACTTTGTGTACATGAGATGAACTATGTGGAGATTTTTGAGGTCTCAGACCAATACAATTTTGCTTTGCAGAATCTTCCAGTCACTAAAGTTTTTGGATAGTATAATTGGAGATGCTGCACTTCTTCTCATTTTGAAGGACAAAAACAATTATCAGTCTTACTCTTCTGAAAGCTTCCTAGAGATGGTGAGTTGATCTCTCTGTAAACACACAATCATTTGATTCTTTTGTTCTCAAACTGGAAAAGGGATGAGAACCTTAATTAAAAGAATATTAGCAGGGCTGGAAAGATGGCTCAGCAGTTAAAAGCACTGGCTGCTCTTGCAGAGGACCCAGGTTTGGTTCCCAGCACCCACATGGCAACTAATAACTGTCAGTAACTCCTATGCCAGAGGATCTAGTGCTGCCTTCTGATCTCCATGGGCATTGCATAACGTGGGTACACTTATACATATGCAGGCAATAGCCTCATTCAGATAAAATAAAAACAGTAAATAAAATACTAAGGAATATTAGAATATAATTATTACTTCATGCACTATTTAAAGAATTTGTATCACTTTTTATGTTGCCTGCATATTCTTCTTTTCTGAAACTGTCTGCATTTGATTTCTGTATGTAATTCATTCTGACTAAATCTCTGCATGAAAAATGACACAGTGAACTTATTTCAAAGTAGGTAAAATAGATAGGCTTTTAGAACATTGTTAAGGTGACATTGTAAGGCAATGGGCATTATAATTAGTTTTTCTGCTTGGCTTTAATTAGAAACCTCTTGATATTTGAATTGTGTAAGCCCTTAATCTGTTCTCGCTAAGCCTGAATTTGAATGTTCTTTTGGCATCAGGATAAGTCCAGGGAGTCATGTGGACAGGGCTGAGAGTATGCAACCCATAGTGCAGGGTTTAAGGAAATAGGAAATTGGCTATTAGCCTCGGTCCTGCATTAGATTGTGTGAGTCTTGAAAGAGTTACTTAACATCTGTGGGGCCTCGTTCACTTATCTGAAAAATAGCATCTTGATTTCTGCCTTGGCTTGATGGGACACTGACCTTGGTTTGATGGGACACCAACCTTGGCTTGATGGGATACTTGCCTTGGCTTGATTGTAACTTAGTTATCATTAGTGTCTTATGAATGGTGAAATTTGGAATTTTATATGTAGTTTGACTTTACACATCTAGAATTAGAGATTCCACTTCAGTATTTTCATAGAGTGATATAATCAAGTCATGATTATAAATTTTTATTTAAAGTGAAAACCACAAGAAGAGCTATGTGCTTCTTAAGGATATGAAAAATAGGGTGCAAAAGTTTTTGAAGAATTGTCTCTAGCACTTGAATTTATTTGCCTCCAAAATGGAGCAAGCAACCCAGTTGTGCCATTGTGGACTCTAGCCTCAGTGGTATATGCTGTGCCTGACACCCCCCCCGCCCCTGCCTCATTATTTGCTTTGAATTTTGATGTGCTCTGTATATTTTGAAAGATAATTCTTTTCCCCTATTATGCTCTTTTCAACACTCTTGTGAGGTAGTAGTAGATAGCTAATTTTGATGCTTAACTTTAAAAATAAAATATGACTTTTTACAGGCTATGAAGCAAAGCTCGCAAGATTCTCTGCCCAAAAAAAATGTCATACAACTGAGTGCAAAAGAACCAAGGTAAATCTATAACTCCGCCTAAATTTTTACCACCATCCTGCGTTTTTGTTTTTTGTAGTTCTTATCTTTAGTGCATACTTTAAGGCAGTTTCTGATTTAACCAGTTATTAATTAATTTAAATTTTTTTCTGAAGATATAGGTTTCCTTCCAAGACTGTCACATTCAAAGCTAATAGCCATTACAGTGCTTGACACATTGATTGCTGCATTTACGATCATGTTTTTCATAATGTAAGATATGGGATGGTAAATGTGTATGTAGCTTGTGATAAAAATATTCCATTTTTTTAACACTGTTTTTAGATTATAGCCTTTCTTCTTTGACCTTTCATGAAGTTACCTGATTTTCGTATATCCTGAATGTGAATTTTTATGAAAGAAGAAACAATTATTAACAAATCACAGTTCCTTCTTTAACATTTATACTAGAAAACTATCATTTTGCTGATCAGACTGCCTTGTGTTGGCAGTAGTGGTGTGTAAGTAAATGTTAAAGTTGTTTGTTAAACAGAAGCCAGGATATTCAGTTGGTGGCTGTTTCTGATTTATGACAAAGTGCTCTATATTTTTATTGACATTTCTTCTGGCATCTATTTTTAGTGACCAAGTACCCATCAGTTGTTACCCATGATTCCAGACATTTTTATAAGTTTTAAATCTTAACTAAAGTGTCACTTCTTACAAGTTGAAAAGTGTAAGAATAATTTTAAAGTTAATTCATGATTTTAACTAAGTATACTTTGTTATAATTGCTAAAAATAAATGCACCAATAATATTCTAGACAATTTGCAATTCTAATAAATTTGAGATTTTGATTAAACAAATCCAAATCGAATCCTTGTTTGTCTAAATTTCTTCTATTTAGATGCTTACGTAGCTTATACCTTAGAACAAGAAATAAGTGTTCTTTAGTTACTAAGGTTATCACAAACATTACTAAAGTCATAAAAAACTTTCAGATTGCCAGTTCATATCACGTAGAGATAATGGCATTAAAATGTGGATTGTAAAGTCTTTGCTTTAAATTAAGTAACATTTGAATGCATTTGAGGCTAGATTCTGTCCTAAACTGTGGAATTGGTCAGCCATTTGATTTTAGTATAATCCTCACAGTATCTTTTTTCTTTTTTATATTTTGGTGAAGGATGATCCTTGATTTTGCTGGCTATGAGAATCCTAAGTGCTTACTGAACATGATTGTGACTGATATCCATTGCTTCCTCTCCCTGCTCTAGGTGCATGTTGTAGTGGGGGGAGGCAGCCTGAGGCTGTAGCAGCTCAGAGGAAAAGTGGATGCCCTCCTTTACTATCCCAACCTTAGCCGGGCTCATTGATAATTTAACCTTACGTAAGCTAAAGAAAAATGAGTACAGAGCATTCCTGTAACAGTAAAGGAGAAGCACGTTTGAATTTTAATATTGAGGGGTTCAGTGCCATATGAGCACAGACGGACCTTTCAAGGCTACTAGTAAATGATTGCTTTTTATGCTTCTTAAACAGCTCATACTTAATGTTCTCATCTTACTGTATCTTCACAGTACTTTCTGTCAAATGTAAAGGCTCTGATTTCTGTAGTCAGATAGATACTTCTGAATGTCAGATTCTATTTTTATGTTTATGTCTATTTTGTATTTCAGAGCTTCATAAAGAGAACTTATTTTTGTTTTTAAAATTTAGTTTTTACTTGGTAGCCACAAGTGATCTTATTGATTTATCAGTAAAGTGACCAAAGAATAAAAGAATGACAGTGGCCTTTAAAAGTGGGAGGATTTGATAGATGTATTTAGCAGGTCCTGCAAGATGAATAGCTGCTCTGAGTCTTTAAAATGGAGGTTTTGGAAGTATGGTGCCTGAGACTTATATACGTTTTCTAGGGTGTTCTAGGGCTTAGCTTTATTTTAACTATTAAGTACAGTTCTTAGTTGAGTAACAAATTATTAATGTAAATAAACCAAACATTCATAGTGGGAAAGATACCCTTTAGAAGCATGCGAAAAATCTTAATAGTATATAGTGTATAGTGTAGTATTAATATTATGTGTATGATTAGGAAATAAATGTTTATAAAGAGTCCTTAGGGAGTTGATAATATTAAAAAGATCAAGAAGTTCTGATGTAAACCCGTAAATTTAAATAGTACATGTAAATGAATGTGATTATGCTAATTGTTATTATAACCTAATATAATTTAGTTTGTATTCAGAGAGTAGTACATAATCTATAGAAGGTGACATCAGTACTTGTTCATGTGCCTGATTGAGTTTACCAAGGCTTTGGGAGCTGCGCATTTTGTATCGAGAGCAAATATAATTAAATATTACAGTGAGTAAATGTTAGATAAATAGTTTTAAAGAATGCTCAAGTTTAGTAAGATTTTTCTGTTTCTTTAATACTTATAATTTTTCAATGAAACTGACTTATAAGACACTTATTGGAAAGACTTGCAAGTTTAGGGTCTTAGAAGACACTGCTGATGCAAGGTGAGCATGTGGAACAGATGAGCATGAAAGACTGAGAGCATGGTCTGAACATTCTGTCTCCTCAGGAAAGACAAGATAAACTTTGCCATAGCACAGAGCAGGGGGCCATGTGGTTTGGCCATTTGTAAAGTTTTTCTGTGGCGTGGATAATCTGAAATGTCACTAAGTGTAAAATCTAAATGATGTTAAGATAACTTCTATACACCTGAGAATGGAAAGGTTCTACTTCATGTATCATGCTGACACAGAATGCTAGACTGGCCAAATTTGTAATGCCCATAAGTTTCAGTGGCTCACATCTCTAGAGGTTGAAAAGCCATGGGCTGCATCTAGTGAGGGTGGGGCTGTGTTAGATGAAGGCTTTTTACTGAGTGTCCACATGGTGGGAGGTGTTGTGTGAGAGAGCCTGATGGTGGTGAGCCTCCTTCTTTTATCAGAAACTGCTTTCAAGATAACTCTGGTAACAGCCTTAATCCATTCATGAAGGCAAAGCCTTGATTGCCTAGTCACCTAAGGATCTGACCTTTCAACACTGTTTAGTATCTAATACAAGATCATTCAAACCATAGCAAATGACTTTAGTTTGAAATAAATTTATTCAGACTACTATTACAAATTTACCTGTAAATGCTTTTAATTTTCAATAAGGTATTTATTGGCAAATAATCCCCTCCGTCTTTCCCTTCCTCCCTCCATGCTTCTCCTTCCTTTTTCCCTTTTCTTCTTCCTAAAGAAAAAAACAACAACAAAACAACAACAACAAAAACAAAAACGAGAGAGGAAAGTCTAACTTGATATGGAAGTCAGTGGTTTCTAAGTTTAGGTGATTTTGGAATATCAACCAGGATTAAAAAGGGCCTAATTCCAGAGACGGCCTTCCATATTGCCATTTAGTTATCTGGCTGAATGACTGGTCACTTTCACACTTTTTATTTTGTGTCCTGGTTTTCTACAGACAGGCTTTCCTTTGGATTCCATTCTGACTTTTTAGTTCTCTTAGTTCTGAAAAGCCAGAACCCATTTTGACCTGACCTCCCTTCGAGTTTTTGGACAGGATAGTCCAAGAGACTCCCCAAGTAATGCAAGCTATCATCACAGCACATGATTGCCTCCCAGAACTTCGAGGTAAGACCCTATTGCTGAAGACCTGACATACTTTGGACACAGGACTTGGAGCAATTGAGCTGAACAGACCTGGAAGCCTCCTCCCTGAAGACTAGCTCTCGTAGTATCAGGGGACTCTATGCAAGCTGCTAAGGGAGAAAACCAGTCAGTGATCCTACTCAGCTGTAAGGTCTATGGACCACAGCAAACTACCTGCTGACATCCAACGCCTTCTGTTTCTCTCTGACTCTGAGCTGCCTTTCTGTGCTCTGCTTGAGTGACTACAGTGGCTTCTTGTTCTTTTGCCTCCATTTCCTTTATAGTTCTGATTTATCACATCCAAGTATTGGCAGAGTCTACTAAAAAACAAAGCTCTGAGATGATTACTTTTTATCTTGGCAGTCTCCAAGAACTTTTATTACCTGTGGAAGAAAGTATAACTGATGGTCAAGTTTAATACTCTGTTTTCTAAAAAATCACCCCAAGTGTAATGTCTCAAATGCAGTCAGTTATGTCTCTCACAGTTCTACAGAAGTACTGGCCAGTTCTTGCTTCAGGTCTTTCATGCCATCGCAGTCAGTTTGGGAATTGGGACTAGAGCTCCTCAAAGCCTGGCAGGGCCAAATGTCTTGGGGGACTCACTCACATTGCTGCATGTTGCTGCTGTCTGTTGGCAGAGGGTTTAGTCATGGCTGTCAGTTGCCAGTGTTTACACATGGCCTCTGCAGCTAGGGTGGCTAGTTCAAAAGAGACAGTGCCTTAAGAATGAACTGCAAACGAACTTAAATATTTTCTGGGTGGGCACAGCAAAGTTTCTTATGACCTGGCCTTAGAGAGCCTGCTGGTTGTTTCCACTACTTCCATTAGTGAAGAAAGTCACTGAGATTAGGTTAGCCAAGAGTCAGGAGAGGCAAGTTATTTCCATTTCTTGATGCAAAGACCATATGTAGGATCATACATATAAAACAAAGGGGCTATAGTTGTCACCTTTAGAGACTCACAGGTGACCGACTGGCCATTGCTGCTCACTTATCTTCTATAAAACCTCTCCCTCCTTCCAAGATGCCTAAAAATCTCATCCCATTATAAAACTGCCTCAAATTTTCCATCTTTATCATGTCCAAAATAGCTTGTACATATGACTTCTCAGTTGATGGTGGCTTATTTCTGATAGTATAGCTATTTGATATTAATTCCACTAGATTGTAAGCTCCTTGGTAGTAGAATTTATTTCTGTTTTATTGTTAATATTTTTTATTTAGCATACAATGTAATGGATTTCATTGTGATATTTAATACATATATTTCTTTAATTTAAAGCATCTCTGTGCCTGTGATGTTGTATTTAATGTAAGAATTCATTATCCAGATTATTGGAATACATCTACTTATCGACTGGAGAGAATATTAAGCTT